CTCCTGAAGGCCACCCCCAAACACCTCCCTCAGGCCACTGCAACAGTAGCAGTGGGTGGGGGCATGCAGGCTGTGTCCTGAGTGCACGGAGGCCTGACGCTGTACTGACTCACCCCTCTGTGTAGCAACTACCTGTAGCAGCCTGTCATTGCCCCTTTAATAGAAGAGGAAGGCCACGCACAGCGAGGTTGCAGGATCTGCTCATGGTCACGCTGCCAGAAGTAGGAAAACAGCTAAAGGAACCCAGACACTGCTCTGTGTAGCTTTCCACCTGTCTCAGCAGCCCAGGCAGGGGATCCCCTGGTTCTGGGCCTTCTGGGCCTTAAGGCTTGCCTGAGAGCTCCTGACGACATTTGTCTTGCTCCTTCCCCCACAGCTGGGCACGGTAGGAGGGTGTGCAAGGAAGTTAACTGAAACAGAAAGCCTGCAGCCTCCCTAGAAAGCTCTGGAGAGGAGAGGGGTTGAACCCTGTGACGGACCCACTATCAGGGACCCACCGAGCCAGGACAGAAGAAGAAAAGCCAGGGGCACAAGAAGAGGGGATGATGGATGTGAAGGAACCTCAGCTACATCCTGTGTATCTACTGTGTGGCAGGCCCAGGGGACCACCCTGGCTAGGACACCAGGGACAAACGACAACCTCCACTCCTCGTGTGGCTGATGTGTCAGAAGAGACTGCCCCAAAGCCCAAGAGGTAGCTGTGGGATGGTGCCCACGGGAGGTGCCTGGTACTGTGCCTGCAGTCAGGGGCCACGAAGGAGGCATCTGGCTACTGCGGGTGTGCATGGAAGAGGACGGGGAGAGGCACTCACAGAGCAGGCAAGACCGCAGGAAGAGCCCTGATTCTGGCTGGAAAACAGGCAGGGTGGGAAGCCATGGGGACATGGCAGGGGTGGCAGGCACCTGTGGAGAGGGGAGATGGTGGAGAAAAACTCTGAGAAGGAAGGGAGTGTCTTGATGGAGGATCTGACCTCAGCCCAGGGCCTTGACTCTCACACCCATGGACCTGGCTTCTTAGGCAACAGAAGGTTAAAAGAGACAATTGAGGGCAGGTGAGCCATCTGGTTACTTTTGCTCCCTGGGATGCCTGTGATGAAGAGCGAGGTTGGGGGAGCACATGCCCTTCAAGGCCCCCACCCCAGGGAAAATGTGAACTGTCTATTTAGGAAGAGAACTCAAGATAATGTGATCTCAGATTCTGTCCCTTAGTGTGACATTGGAGGCAGGTCCCCGCACCCCTCTCTTGGCTTCCCTTTTTTCAGATGGGTGCCTTCTGTACTCCTAATTGTTCAGAGATGGGCAGGGATGAGGGACACAGGGATGAGGGAATGCAGAGGGGGGGATCTGGGAGGCAGAGGAAGCAGAGGATGGGGACAAAAGGCCCCTCAGCTCTGGCTAACGCCATGTTCTGAGCTGTGGTCAGATCGTTCCACACCCCACCTCTGCCCAACTGAGGCTCCCCTCACCTCCCCAGGTCAAAGACCCACCTCTGGATGCCAGCCTGATGGCCCAGGCTCTCTGACTGGCGCCCTAGGCCCTACTGTGTCCTCCCATGCCCAGCTGTGTCCTCCAGGTGGTAAGAAGAGGGTACCTGACTCCATGCTTTCAGAGTGAGTGTACTCCAGTGTGCGGGCCTGGAGGCCACAGACCCAGCACACACCAGCCTGGCCTGGCAGTATCCAGATGAGCATCACCACACAATACCCTGCCTGTCCCCAAGTCTTCTAGGAAGGAAACACACATGGCTTCTTAGTAAAGGTGTCACTACCAGCCCAATGCCAGGCACTCTGCCAGCCCTCCCACACGGGAGTACCTTGGCTCATAGGGAGCTGAGGGTCACAGCTAGTCCTGAGGAAGAGTCATTTTCCCGGGGGCCCCAGCCTCTCACGGATGCCTTCCTCTTCATTTTCCTTTCCTTGCTGCCCCTACCTCCAGCCCTCCCACCTGCTCCAAGTCAATGCTTTAAACACAGATGCATGGACCACCCCAGCCCCAAGGCCGCCCCCACCCCAGCCCTGATCACTCAGCGCTGTTGTTCCTGTTTTTTGGGTTTTTTTTCCCACCTCCCTCACTAGCCCTGTGGGCAGGGACCGTGTCTGATTCATCTAGGCCGTTCTGAGCAGGGTCTGGCATGGGAGTCCTGCCCACAGGGCTGGCAGTGAGGACAGACAAACAGGGCCACTCAGTCCTCCCACCCCAGCACCCGCTCCTCTGCTGGAAGATGCTCCACAGAGTTTGGCTCACATGGGACTGGAGCCAGCGCAGGGAAGACACTGAGTCCTTGGGACTCCTCACCACTTGCCCACTCCTTGGTGGCAACATACCCTTCCTCGGGCCTGACCAATCTTTTCCGGGTGGTTCTACTCTGGCTAGGCCTACCTAACATTCACTCCACACAGCTAAGGTGGCATTCCCAGACTGCTGTGCCCCAACCAATGGCAGATCCCAGCAAAGGTGGCCTCAAGGGGAAGCATTTTCCTGAAAACAGCAAAGAGGACCAGGCTTCTGGAACAGATGCCCAGGCACAGTGCTCTACAGGTCACCGGGGCCACCTTGAGCCCCAATCCACTTAGCCTGATCCACTCTCCTCCATATTAATCCACTTCCTCTGTTAGCACAGCTGATTCAGCGCTAACCCGGATCTGGCTGGGCACACAGAAGGTACCACTTCAACACTTCCGTTGTCAAGGTGCTAGAAACTCTTTTTTTTTTTAAACCTGCTTTGCTGACTCTCTTGTCTGATCGTCACATGGCCATGTTGGCTCTTTGAAGGTGGATACCCCTAGTTCCTCTGGCCTCGGGTTCAGACTTGGCCCTCCCCCAGCTCAGAAACAAGCACTGAATGGGTGACTGGCCTGAGCAGGCATCACTACTGAGGGCAGCTGTGCCGGGGCCGGGGATGCCACCACCTTGAGCCCCTACTTACTCAGCCAAGTCCCCCACTGCCTGCCAGTTGCTCTCAAGCACGGGGTCAAGTTGGCTTGCTGGCAAGACACACAGCTCTCATTTTAATTAATTAAAGAAAAATCTAATCACTGCATTAAACTTCTCATTACTCCACTTGAATACCCGTTAAGTAAATTTAATTACCAGAGGATTGGGTTTCCAGCCTCTTTCATTAGCTTCCGATAAAGCCAGGGAGGGGAGGGGATGACTGGGAACAGAACAATGCTCTTCTGAAGCCACAGAGGGCAGGGTGGGCACTGGACGGGGCCCCCATTGTCAGGCTTTGGTGTCTGTCTCCTGGATTTGAGCCTGGACCTGGACCAGGGACACCTCCTCCCAGGCTGCCTCTGGGAAGGTCAAGGACTGGCATTTGTCTGCAGTCAGTAGCATGCCTCACTTTCAGCCCCCTTGGTCGTCTCTGCCCCCACCTCTCTCCTCAAGAGTCCGCGGCTGCGGAGAGCAATGTCAGCAACACAGCTCAAAACTAAGATAGCAGGACAACGAAGGCGTGAAGGCAAAGCCAGGAACAGGTCTATTGAATGCTTGTTTCCTGATGGCTTAGTAGAAAAGGCTACACCTTGCCTGTGAGCTCCCTAGCAGTCAAGGCGAGCAGAGCAATAGACTTTGGCACTGACACAGTAGTCAATGGAGTGTTTGTGAGGAAATGCTCACTGCACCTCTGTCCTCCTACATGGAACATGGACCCCTGGAGACAACCGCTGGCTGGAACAGCAAGCAGAGACTCCCTGGAAGAGAAGGGCCCTGAAGTGTGCCTTGAAAAGTGGACAAGGGTGGAGAACACAGGAAGACATAAGAAGGGCAGGAAAGAGAAGAGCTTCTGGGGACCAGGCAAAGGGGGACAGCACCCCATCTCCCAAGTCCAGAGAGGCCTGCAACAGCTCACTGCTCCCCTTCTCCAGAGAAATAGCCTTCAAACAGGCACCCCTTGCTTGAGCAATGCTGGGCCCTGTGGCTGGCTAATGACTGGTTAATACAGAGTAGGGAGCCTGGCTCCTTAACCAGGGATGGTCCTGAATTATGCTGCAGGACCGGCTGGACTTAACCTAAGAACATGCCCCAATAGACTCCCATTTCTGCCTCAACCTCCCTTTTTCTCCCCCTCTTCTCCTGAGACCTTGCCCTCTGCAGATCTCATGCGTACAAATCCTCGGCTCAAGCCTTGCTTGCAGGGATTCTGACCCATACACTTCCCCAGTAATCCTTCTAAGTTTGAAGAAAACACGGATGTCTCAAACATCCCCAAAATAGGAAAAGGAAGAGAACAAGGGTGTCCTAAGCTCCTGCCGGATGCCAGATGTCAGGTGACTGTCTTGGCGGCCCCGCCAGATGAGGAAACGAAACTCAGAGAAGAGGTATCGGGATTCATCTGAGGCCCCACAACGTACTCCTATCCATTTGGTCTGGCTTTAGGCTGTCCAGTTGGGGTAAATTCTGTCTGCAATAACCATGTATTATTTGCCCCCTTCAGTCGTAAAGTCTCCTCAGCAAGGTTCAAGATTTCTTTGAGAAACAACCTCCTCTCTGCCCTGGTTACCTGACTTCGAAAGGTTTAGACCCCCGGGCCCCTAGGCCAGCAGTGTCTTCAAGATCCGTGGACCCAGCTGAAGACTCAGGATGGTCCAAATCTTGCCAATGAGGACCAAGAGATCAGTTCTAGAGCTTTAATTTGTTTTGTCATGAAAGTAGATTTCTATCTTCAAGCCTAGACTTAAATCTAGAAATACCCTGGCCTGGATTGTGTCAAATGCCACTAAATACAGCCATTACCAAGAAAGAGGCATAAAGGCCACACTCAGAATTCAGAGTCTTTTCACAATGTCTGAACCACTGAATCAAGCTTTGCCTGGAGCCCACCCTACCACCAGACACTGGCTATGTGAGCTGATAATTTCATTTCCCCGAAACAGGCTTTCTCCAACCCTTACTTGTAATTCTGATACGGAGTGTTCACAGAAGTGTCCTTTCTCCTCCAGGGCCAAGAACACTCAGGTATCCCTAGAGCTAGGGAGTAGGGGTGATTGGGGTGCGCTTACCGTAACTGTTGCAGTGCTTGGCTGAGTCCTGAAGCACGAGGAGCCCCCCGGACCAGGTGGGGACAGGAATCAGCTTGAGGCTGGTCAGGGCTGGACGGGGTCAGAGCCCCAGAGTTGGGCAGGAAGCTATGCGGCCCACAGACTCAAGACAGCCAGGACATTGCCTTAGGATCCCTAAAAAAGAAGAGAAGCAGGAGTGAGCTGTGGGGGTCTTATGAAGGGCTGGGGGTGGGGGAGGGGGTTGGGAAGTGGGGGTGGCAATGTTGGCCTAACAGTGTAATCTGGGGTGAGATCAGCCAGGCTTGCCTTCGCTTCCTTAACCTGGTGTCTTGTTCCTACTCCTAGGTCCCCCAGGTGGTAGGCGAGCCTCTAGTCAAGGGTTTCTCCCTGAAAGAAGGGAGGGAGGAGCCAGACCCTCCTGTGTGAGCAATCAGGAGGCCACAGGCTGTACCTTCACACTGTGCTACTGACTCATTCCTGGATTGGGGTCACTCCAAGGGTCCCCTACCCTCTGCCTCACATTCTCCAGGCAGAGGCTCCGGCTGAGAGACAGGGTGTGGTGACCACACATACAGACCCTTCCAGAGTTGCTGGCTTTTGACAAGTCACTCCTTCTTCAGGGTGCTGCCTCTGAGCTCAGAGCTGTCTCCTTTTGTCCTGGCCCTATAAGAAGATCCAAAGACAGAGGCCCAGAATCATAGGCTCACAGCTCACTAGGGCTTACTAGGCCCCAGGAAGTACCTTCAGATCTGCATGCCCAATAGAGTTTTCTACACTGAGACCAAGGTTCTTCAACATGGTGGCCACCAGCCACCCATGCATAAAGCTGTGTGGATAGTGAAGCTAACTGATTGGTTTGTGTGTGTGTGTGTGTGTGTGTGTGTGTGTGTGTGTGTGTGTGTGAGAGAGAGAGAGAGAGAGAGAGAGAGAGAGAGAGAGAGTTGACCCTCTCCTCCTGTATGATCTGAGTATGAAACTCAGACATTCAGTTTTCACAACAAGCCCTTTTAGCTACAGTCATATCATCCCCGGCCCACTTGGTTTTATTGAATTAACTTACATTTTAATTTATAGGCGGCTAGCAGCTATCATACTGGACAACACAAGCTGGATCAACCCTTGTCTAGCTGAGCCAGTCAAAGGAAAATCTGAGGTTCAGAGAAGAATTTGCCCGCGGCCACACAGTTAAACAGTAGCAAAGGCGAAACCAGAACCCGGCTCCCTCAGACCTACTCTCACCCTTCCAGGAGCCCACCATCCTTCTTGTGAGTGGTGTCAGGCTCTCCTATCACGGCACTGTAAGGGTCTCACAGCCCTAAACCCCATGCTGCTGCCTCAAGACAGTGTGCCAGGCCACCCTTGAAAGGCTCCACCTTTCCAAGCAGGTACCCCTTGCCTACCTGTCACCGCTGACAGAGCAGCCTTAAGAGATGTCCTTGAGACTGTCTGGGAGAAAATGTGTCTAGAGGTAAATCCCTTGGGATCTGGGAACAAAGCTGGCCTCTACCTGAACATTACAACCAAGTTATCAAAGGGACTCCCAGCTCCTCTGCTCAATAGGACAGCGCTCAGACAATAAAAATAACCAACACAGTATAGCAGTGATAACCACGGGAGGGGACGGAAGCTAGGAGGGCGGGGTCAAGGTGGGGTCAAGGCTCTGCGAAGCCCACTCACACCTCCTGGCTCCCCCTGGGCTCCAGATCACAGACTCACGTTCTAGGTCACAGCTGAGGTCTGAAGCAGCCACCCATGGCTCCGGCTCCACCCGGGGAGGGCGGAGTTGAGGCTGAAGCCTGGGTTCCCTCCTTCCAGGGGAGACCTCTCCATCTGGTTCCCCTGCCATCATGGCCGTATTACAAAGGAAGGAGTGACCCCTTTCACAGGTGGGGGGAGGGAGCCGTCCACCAACGGAAAGAGCCCCTTGTGCCACACTCTAGCTAGCCCTGTCTTCACAGGAAAAGCCCAGGAACCGCCATGGCCTTGACATGGTAGAATTGAGATGGAGTGGGCTTTTTTTGTCTTCTCAATTTTATTTCATAGAAAAACACATAACAATTGAAAGCTAGCAATTCAAGAAGTAAAAGTATCAAAAAAAAGTTCTTGAAAACGCAAGGACACACACAGGAGGATGAAAACTTATCCGACTGAAGCTACAGCTGCATCTAGGGACCTTGACTCTGAGTGCAGTCTGCCTCCCAGGAGCAGCGAGATGCAGGCCGCTCCCCCAGCAGCCTCCTGCCCTGAGCCTGCACTCAGCAGCAGAAAGCCCAGGTGAACGGCCATCCACACCAGACTCCCGCCCTTCCCCCAGGGCATCAGGTAGTTGCCGGCACAGGTGACCTCAAAGGCCATGGCCTCCAACTGGACAGCATCAGTCCACAGGTAATAATGGAGGCCTGAGAGGTGAAAGACGTCACGTGGCTGAACAGCAAGTGTACCCCCACCTGTGAGCTACCTATGCAGGTAGAGCGTCAGGCCAGGGCCTCCCAAGCCTCATCACACACACACACACACACACACACACACACACACACACACACACACACACACAGAGTCACAGTCACACAGAGGAACACATAGACACAGACAGACAGACAGACAGACACACACACACACACACACAGAGTCACAGTCACACAGAGGAACACAAAGACACAGACAGACACACAGACACACAGACAGACAGACACACACACACACACACACACACACAGAGTCGTCAACTGCCAGTGTAGTTAGCTTCATCATCCACTCGTTCCTTTCTCTGTCTCTGCATTACTTGTTCATTCACAAAACGCTTTTGAGGAAGTACTGGGTGCTAGGTGTGCCCTAGGTACCCGCAATGTAGGAGGGCATGAGGGCATGGGATAGATGAGTCTGGTACTGTCATGGAGCCAGAAGATGAGCAGAGAAGCAAACACGGCACTTCCTAAGAGAGCCGAATGCAATGGAAATCCTAACACCCAGCAAGAGGAGGGCAGCAGGAGCAGGGCTGGAGCTGCTCTAGCCAGAGGGTCAGGGGAGGTCTTCCTGAAGGGGGCCACCTTGAACTTATGCTTCAGGAAGTGAGGCTGCAAGGCGGCTGAGGCCCTGAAGGCCAAGGTGGGGGCTTTGGCTACCACCCCAAATGTAAGAAAAAGCCACCAGAGGGCTTTAACCAGATAAGTGCAATGATGTTTGCTTCATTGTTAAAAGTCCTTTCGAGCTGCCAACTGGAGCGGGGGGCGGGGGGAGACAGTGGGCTGGCTGTCACAGTCACCCAAGGAGGAGGAGACAAGGCTGGAGAGCGTGAGGGGGGAGGCTGTCCGCCTGCCTGCCTCAGCAGCACCAACAGCAGTTGTCTGATGCTTGGGATGAGGAGGCGGGGTAAGAAGACAAGAGGAAGAGGGTGAGTCCAGAGCCACATTCACAGACACATGCTGCTCTTACAACCAGACCACCGACTTAAAAATAACTCTGAAAAATAACAAGCAGATGCGACACCCATGGAGCCGCCTACCCCTCCTGAGTCTCAGTTCCCCGGGGGGTGCATCTTCCTTCCCGAGCCCCCTTTCTCTTCCCTCATCCTGTGCAGGGAACACAGGAAAAGGCACAGCGATCCTCACCCTCTGACAGGAGACAAGCCAGTCCTCAGACAGGACCAGATGGGTGGCTTAGAAGAGGCCCAGCAGGGGCCTGTTCAAGACTATGCTGGCTGAGCCCGGAAGAAGGGACAGGCAGGGGTGATGGGGAAGAGTATGGAGGCTGAGGGGAAGAGGCAGTAAGGGGTAGAGCTTTGAGCTGGATCATGGAGCGTCCTAGATTGGAGTTCCTGCCTGCTCTGCCCTTGCCGGGTGTAGGTCTGGGTTGGCCATCTCATGTCTGAAGGCTCTGTTCCCTGATCTGCACACAGACACACCACCACCACCACCATCAAAAGCTGGATGGAAGGTCTTGAGACATCTCTGTCTATCAGCACCCAGCCCCGTTGGTTCCCTATAGGGGGCTAAAAGGCCACCTGGGCTTGGGCTAGTTAGCTTCCAAGCTATTCTACAAGGGAGTTCTGGAAATGCTATGCAGAACACTGAAAAGACAGGCAGCTGGAGGAGTCTGTGCAGTTTGCTCTAGTCTCACAGGGAGAGATGTGTATCAAATAATGACAGACAGAGACTCCCGCAGGCACAAGCAGGGCCTGCACGACTTCCTTATGGACAAAACAGAAACGTGGGGGGCTGGGAAGCTCAGTGGTTAAATAGTCAGTTCCAAGCCTGTGAGTGAGCACATCACACGGGGTTCCGGTGGGAGGCTCTTATGGAGGTGGCAGGGATGGTCACACTGGCTTCCCAGAGGCTCTCACAGGCACTATCAGGTCCTGCCAGAAATATGATTGATAGACTCAGATGGAGCCTTTGTGGTAGACCTAGTCCAGGAGGGTCCAGAGGGAAGGGAACAATCCTTTGCTCAAATTCCTCCACTTGCTATATTAATAGGCAGGAGAGTTTCTAGGGTCTGAGTGGGTCCTATGAGCAGCTCCAAGAACCAGATGCAGAGTGGAGCCTGGCTGCTTAGAGTTCTTGGGGCCTCGGTGACCAGCCCCTTCAGCTCTCTTATTAAACTTATTTTTAAATTTTATTTATTTATTTTATGATACTTTATGTTATTTATAGGATGTGTTTCCCATGCTTGTATATCACGTGTGTGCTTGGTGCCTGCAGAAGCCAGAAGAGGGCACCAGATCCCCTGGGACTGGAGTTACAGATGGTTCTCAGCCACCATGTAGGAGCTGGGAATGGAACCTGAGCCCTCAGAAAAATCAGCCAGTGCTCTTAACCACTGAGCCATCTCTCCAGCACCTACAATAGCTCTTAAAATGGTCCAGCCACCTCCAAAGAGCCATGCCCCATCACTGTATCAAAAGGTCTGCTCAGAGAGACATCATCGCTGATGTCCCTGGCAGAAGACTCCAGGGCCTGGACAGGACTCCAGGTTTCTGACAAAGCAGTGTGGTATTCATGCCAGAGAGAGTAGAGCAGGGCCCAGTAAGAAAAGATCGTAGGCCCCTGTCCAGTGTGAGGAGGAGTGAGCTCTGTCTCTGAAGGCTACAAGGGAATCTGGGATGCCCACCTGTTGGGTGGGGATTTTCCCTAAACAGGAAAGTTGCTTCCTGTCATACATTTCTTAAATTTCATCTA